ATTACTGCCTAGCTAACTACAATAAGTTATAATTAATTCTTACCCTAGAAAAAACTTAAAATTAAAACTAAATATACACACAAGGAAGTTAGCAATCTTTGGTCATTAACCAGAGATACGAGTCTCGAAGTTTGAGGTATGGAAAAAATCATATTGGGAATCCTTGCTCTCAAATGGGTCTTCGAGTACGCTATCCAAATTTAATTAGGATCGGGTCGGAAACCCAAAAGACGAGGAAGCAATATTTGGTCATTGATCATGGATCAGGTACTTTGGGCCCAGCCCTATTTCGTGAAATTAGACCCATCACAGCCCATTGAGCACAAAACCTTATCGTAGCTCAAACGCCACTTCATAGTCCACCAAAAAACCCTAACGCCGCTTACCTCCGCCGCAAAGGTTTCCGATTTCCCATCTCCAGAACCATGGCGGACGTTGAAGCCGATGTGACGACCGGACAGCCAAGGAAGAGGACGTTTAAGAAGTTTAGCTACAGAGGCGTTGATCTCGATTCTCTTCTCGACATGTCCACTGACGAGCTCGTCAAGCTCTTCAATGCACGTCCCCGTAGAAGGTTTTTTGCTAATTTCTTTTCAATTTAATTCATTTCTTCTTTATTTATAGCAAAATAATGTGAATTATACTGTTCATACTGTTAACTGTATCTAATTTTCTGTTTGCTTGCAAAATGTACATATTTCATTTTTGTTTGATTAACACTTCGATAATGACCAGTAGTTGCCTCATATGGTAAAAAATCCCTGTATCTCCAATATATAACTTATATCCATATATTTCTGAGACTTAAGATTATGTTAAGCATACATTTGTATTCTGATGCCAAGCATATCCCTGTTGCATCTGTGTCAGTTTTTGTCAGGACGTCTGAATTTGATTTGTTGCAGGTTCTAGAGAGGTTTGAAGAGGAAGCCAATGGCTCTGATCAAGAAACTGCGGAAGGCGGTATGCATATGATATTTGTGCTTGATACTATCATTGGCATGTTGAACCCCCCCCCCCCCCATCGGAAAAAAAAACTTATACCTTTCATAGTAAATTAGTATGGATATATCTGTCTGTTAATTATCTTCTATTCACCTTGTGATGCATTTTGCTTTTATAACATTTGCTATGTATGAAATAGTTTTGTATGCTCTATCAACAAAGGAACAACAGTCACATGCTGAAAAAAAAACTTTTCGAGTTCTTGTTAAAATCTGAACTGTTTACGTTCATGCATATTGTGTTTCGTGTTCTTTTTTCGCTCTGGCCTGTATACATGTTAGTATTAACTTCTATCAACTTTGATATTCATCCTAAAGGAGACCCTTGCAGCACCAAGTTTGAGCTGAAGTAAAATTTGTCATTTTGATCCTCTAAGTCTTATATGAGTTGCTTAACTTAGGGTTAGGGATGGCAATGGGGCGGGAGTGGGTGCGGCGGGTTATTGTGTAAGTGGGGCGGGGCAGGTTAGAGCTTTGCGGGTGTGGGGCAGGTTTGAATATATCATTTCAAAATTTATGTGGGGTGGGGTGGGTTGCGGGTTTGGAATAAGTTTAAAGTCGTAATTCACACAAATTCTCTGTATCAGTTTTGCACCTATTTGGGCCATTGCCATTTGATGAGTTTTAAGTAAAAATGAATATTTACGTAAACTGTTTTGAAAGGCTAAGAAACTAGAAAGAAAAAATTATCTCACTACTTGGCATTTAATTTTTTGTTATTACATCAAATGTAACCAATTCAAATCTACCAAAAAAAAATTGTTGCTGACATATCTAAAAGAGTTATAAAACATCGTAATGTTAAAAATTTAAATAATGTTACATGTTAATTTTAGCGATTAATAGTTAACAAAATTTTAATTTTTTAAGTTGAAAACTTATTGAGCCTATTATTTGAAAAGTTTTTTACAAAATATGTGGGATGGGGCGGGTTTTTGCGGGGCGGGGCGGGTTGAAAATAACAAAATATGTTATGTGGGCGGAGCGGGGCGGGTTGAGATCTTAGCGGGTTTAAGCGGGCTTGCCCTGCAACCGCTCAGCCCCGCCCCGCAACCGCTCCGCCCCGCCCCATTGCCATCCCTACTTAGGGTGAAATCATTAAGTGTTGAATTTGTACTAAACAAGTTGGTTTAGATCTCCATCAACCTAATGACTTAAGTCTTAAGAATCTTTCCATATTCACCTCCTTTTGTGTAAGTTATACAGATGGAGGTGATCGATGTGGTGTAATGTTTAATTCAGTTCGGTGACTTTACTAGTGAAATGCCTAATTTAGCGTGTCGTTGGGAGAATTATTGTTAATTGATTTGAGCATAACATACTAGATATTTGGATCTAAAACCTGTCCTATATATTTTTTAGTGTATATGATTGATTGCTATGTAGACAGAGATTGATTTAGAAACACTACTAGTAAGATTTCATGGTTAAAATATTCTACACTGATTATAATTGATAAGTGGACTTGAAGTGAAGATGATGACAATTTTCTCAACACATGAAAATAGACGTAATCTTGGGGATGTATGGAGTGATGGTTTTAGCTGTTTCTGGGTCTACAAAGCTTCTCCCAAGTTACTGAAATGTATAGTTACTTGGTTTATTGAGTTACCTTTCCTGTTGATAGGTCTCCATGATCTTGTCAGTGTTTGTTTACTCTTAGCAGATATTCATATTGCGCATTAATCTTTTTCATCAGCAGCTACTAATAGATGCATTTTTTTCTGCAGAAACGCGAAGCTCCACAAGGTGAAAAGCCAGAGCCTGTCAAGACTCATCTTAGGAACATGATCATCGTTCCTGAAATGATTGGAAGTGTTATCGGAATTTACAATGGTAAAACCTTCAATCAGATTGAAGTCAAGCCTGAGATGATCGGCCACTACCTGGCCGAGTTCTCTATCTCATATAAGCCTGTCAAGCACGGTAGACCCGGTATTGGTGCTACTCACTCGTCAAGGTTCATACCACTCAAGTGATTTTCCCACCTGTCTATTTTTCTTCTGTTTTAGCCTTGTCAACGCCCTTTAAAAAAACAATTTTGATGCAACATATGAGTTATTTAAAACAGTTTTTTACTGTAGAACTCTTATTTGTTCATGAATATCATTGTTTTTGATGGATTAGTAAAAATTATAATATACTCTACCCTCCTATATTCCACTCGTGGGATCACATTGGGTATGTTGTTGTCTTTGGTTTTTGTACTAAAAATTATTATACTTGGTTTTTGTACTAAAAATTATTATACTTGGTTTTTGTACTAAAAATTATTATACTTGGTTTTTGTACTAAAAATTATTGTACTGTGTTATATCGATTTTATATTAAACTAAGATGGATTTAAATGGATTGACATATACATTGATGACCATCTCCAACCCTACTCTATTTTACACTCTATTCTCTGTATTTGGAGAGTAAAATAGAGAATGCCCTCTCCAAGCACTCTATTTTACCCTCTATTTTCCAATTATTTGTAGAACTACTATTTATGCTCTCTATTTCACTTTTTGAATATTATATTATTATTTTTATTATTTTGTAATTAACATATTATTTTTCATTTAAGACTATTAATTAAATCTCTAATATTCGTAATTCTTTTAAAATGTAATATACATTAAAAAAATATATTAGTTAATATATACTACTTTCATCTTGAATTAATAATATGTATATTTTTTTTAATTTTCATCACTTTGTGATATAATTTGATGTTATTATTAATTTTCACTATGAAGAAATGCACAAAATTTAAAAGAAAAGATAAAAATTTTAATTTAAAAATACAATACATAATATAATAATTTAAATATAAGATAACAATACAATACAATACAATACATAACATAATAATTTTAAGAATCACAACAATAATTTAGTAATTCAGTAGTACGTTTCTGGATTTAACAATATTCAAAAAAGGAAGTATGTAGTGTATGATTTAGAGAAGTTGTGGTTGTAATTACTATTGTGCTTGTCGATTTCTTTTTTCAATTATTCGTAGTTGTACTTTAGAAATTTAAAATAAAATATAATTTAATATTAAATAAAGAATTTCAAAAATTAAAATTTATATAGCATGAAAATTATATAGGATGATTATTAAAAGAAAAAAATATTTATATTACGAAATTAGAAAATAAAAATAATAATATAATATTGAGGAGAGAGAAAAAGATTTTTTTTAGAGAGTAAGATATAGAATTAATTGAATTGGAGTTGGTTGTATGAAAAAATAGAAAACTCTATATTTGAAAAGTAAAATAGAGGGTAGGGTTGGAGATGCCCTTACATAGCTAATTTTGCTCAAGATTGAGAATAATAATTATTGTTGTATATTTTAGTAGTTGTAGGGGGTATTTGGATAATCTTTACAGGGTTATCTACTCATTTTGTAAACACTGTTTTACGACTTATAAGTCAAATCTTTTGATGAATTGTTTCACTTTTACCCTAACACCAAGAATTTAAGTTAGGGGCATAACGAGTTCATCCAAACTTCCTTCGTTGTATTTCAATTCAATCCACATACCAAATTGCATATTTATAAGATTAGTTCCAACACCTAAAAAATGTATATCAATACTTATTTCTTATCATCAATTTATAATCAGTGAATCCAAATCGGTTCAGAGTATCTTAACTCTCTTAACATGTGTGTTTTATTTTTGGGATATCGATGCTCGTAACTAGTCCTCATATTTAACATTCAATTATTTGAGACCACAAAAAGATAGAGATAAAATAAAATTAGGAGGAAAAAGAAGGGAAAGTCCTCTTAGTAGATCAATTGGTCAAAATGAGACGCCAAATAAAAATTTAGTTACCCTCATATTTAACATTCAATTATTTGAGACCACAAAAAGATAGAGATAAAATAAAATTAGGAGGAAAAAGAAGGGAAAGTCCTTTTAGTAGATCAATTGGTCAAAATGAGACACCAAATAAAAATTTCTTGATGAGTACAAGTTGCATAATTTTGTGTGACTTAGAATTATCAAGTCATTCTATCTCTGCTTCAGATAGACTTATAAAAATTTCTTGATGAGTACAAGTTCCTTTCAACTTCAGATAGAGTATTTTGTACTGCTTTTTCTATCTCTGCTGCTCCACTCTATCACAAAAAAAATTGACCATAAATTACTCAATGAATGAGAAAACTTGACAAACATTAAAAAATAAAACAAAGGAAGAAAGAAAGGAACAAGCCATGAACATTTCCGTTATCAGAAACTTATTGATCCGACTAATTTAAATCGAAAATTTTAGTAACTTAATTGACTGACTATTTGAACTTCAATCCTATTGATGAGAGTTCGATTTTCTACCTTATAATCATCTCTCTTTTTCCCCTTCAAATTAATGTCGATAACATTTTATAAGAAGAAAACATTACACTTCTAGTTTATAATTCTTCTCACTCAAATTATTTGTTATGAATTTTTTTTCACAAGCTCCCCTAGGAACAATAATATTAAGGGTGTTTGAATTAAGAGAGATTTATAACTATTTCACCCTTCATTTGTATTTGAGTAGGCATAATATATAAATATGACCCTTAACTTGGCGTCAGCTGGCAACTATGACCTTTAACTTTGGATGTGTACAAGTAGACACTTAAACTTGTATAAAATTGAACAAATAGACACATTCGTCCTACATGGCACCCTACATGACAATTTTGTGTCCTACGTGGTATCCTATGTGTATTATGCCATGTAGGACAAGTGTGTCTACTTGTTTAATTTTATACAAGTTTAAGTGCCTACTTATGCACATCCAAAGTTAAAGGTCATAGTTGTCAGCTGACGCCAAGTTAAGGGTCATGCTTATGTATTATGCCATTTGAGTATTCATCATAATTGAGGCGTTTGTAGTCTTCAAAAATAATAACAACTATTAAAGGATAAGATGAGAAAAACAATTAATTTTGTTTTGAACTTTTAAACGAAAAATAATTTGAGATAACTATTTTTAGAAATTACGATAGATAATTTTAGACAGAGGAAATATAAGATAAACACTTCCTATTAAGCTAACACTCAAATTAATGGTCTCAACACAACCAACTTCCATAGAGCAATACAATGACCTCAAGTGTTGGTAAAAGAGTTTTTTAATCATATATATATAGAGTTTGAATCAAAATTACTGATACTATCGAATTCGTAATTGAATAATATATTACCTTAGTTTCTATTTCAATCAATGTTGAAAATTCTTGGTGAGAGAAACTTGATTGAATGGAAGTTGCTTTGGTTCCACAATTCCTCAAGCACTTGAGAACCTCTAACATTGAATCTACACCACAAATTGGATAACCAACTTTTGCTTTGATTTTTGCCTTCTCAAATTCCTCCTCTTCTTGATTACTTTGTGCTAAAATCAATTGAATTTCATCATTTCTCTTTTTTAAATTTTCCTTGTATTTTTGTAGCTCTTCAATTCTCCTTGTTGCTGTTTGGACTATAGCATTTTTCTCATTCTACAATTAATCATAATGAGAACTTGTTAATTGAACCTTAAACAAAAGTGTTACACAAATTGCAATGAAAAGAGGTCTCCGATTTGAGTACCGGGGATGGAGTGACCGTTAGACTCTTATATTGAACTTTCTATGACAAAAATTAAGAATAACTAAGATAGTAATCGCGTTTCAAATATCAAATGCTTGAATATAACATAAATGTAATTTTTATAGTACAAGACCTAGAAATTTGATTCAAGAAAATAGAAAAACACTAATAAAAATGGAAAATTTTCATCAGAATATAGTCGAAAATGTGAAATTTTCAAAGGAAAGTCTGTGAGAAACATTTCTGACAAGTCAAGTTTCACGTTTTTTTTTTCAAGAAGTGGAATTTCTTGGTAATGGAAATGAACTAACCTTGGTACCCATTGGAAGCAATTTGTACAAGTTCAAATAACTTTGCTTTTGTTTTTCTCTTCTAATCCTCTCTTTAATCATATGTTTATGAACTTTCTCTTGTCCATTTTTGGGACTCCAATTCTTCTTCAAGAACTCAATCATCCTCTTGTTCATGTTTTGACGATTCATCGATACATTTCCATAGCTAGAAACTCCAAATCCTTCATTTGGTTTGCTCCCAAAACTCACAAAAGCACTTTTGTTCACCACAAAATTATTATTATTAGTTTCATCATCACAAAACCAAGAAACTTGAAAGAACTCTTCCATACTAGCCTTTTCTTTCTTTCTCCTTTTATCGAGAATTTTAAAATTTGGTTAATTTAACGATTACCATCTAAGAAAAAGGAAATATTTTCAGAACTTTCTGTTGATACGACATGTTGTTTTTATCATATTAGAGTAAGCATAAAAATAATCCAATTGTTGAGGATCTCTATATATATGACAGGATTTGGTGGATTTTAGCATATGGCTTGATAAATTCACATTTAACATGTGGTCAAATAATGTTGTGACTTGGTCTTTAATTTGTCTTGTAGAGTTCCTTGATTCAATAATTGGTCAAAAGTCTTCTACTTGATAGGAAATGTTTTATTTTATTGTGCTAAAATCCACATCTTTACAAAGTAAAATAGTATAATTTAAACTCCCACTAAATTAACTTTTGGCTTTATTTGATATTCTTTTAGTTAGTGATACTTGCACATGCTTCAATTGAAGGATTTAGTAAAATATTTTTCTTATGGTTTTGAATATTACACTAAACTTCATGTATTGTTTCATTTCTTTTGGAAGTGTTTGAAGAAAAAATGCATAAAATAAACACGAAAAGTGAAGTTAGTTGAAAGTTATGAATCTGGTATAACAATTGAACTAGTAGTGTGCTAAGAAATTCCGATAAGCGTATTCAAATTTAATTTAATGTACGTGGAAGTATTTCATTAATAAAGTATAATTTTGTTATTTTCTGATAAAAGATGTTCAATTGATCTTCTATATATACGGTTACACCACTAAGCTGAATGAATAATATATTTGTTATATATGTATGCAAAATAATTACACTAATGTATAAGGCGAAATTGTCCACTTTTAGGTTAGAATATACTTTGTAGTTTAAATTTTAGAATTTAACTTGAATTAGTGTAAAGTGTGTATAACTCAAACTTTAAAGTAAAAAACTCTATCCCCTATATATGGCCGTGGGTTTTTATTTTTAAAGTGAAAAAAGTGATATTTAAAAAATAGAGTTGTATTTGGTGATGAATGCAAGTTAGAATTGTTTATTAATTTTTGTGAATGATTTAGAGTGAAGAAAAATGAAAATAACTTTTCAATATTTTTCAAATTTCGATATCCAACTTCATGATAAATTCTAAAATTTGATGACCACACATAATTTTTAAAATTCAACTCCAAAAAAAATAAAAAATATTCATGACCAAACTACCACTATGTCGCTCAAATAATTAATCATAGAAGTAGCTAGGAAGGAAGGATTATTTTATATTATTAATAATTAAATTGGACCGTGTATGCTACAAGTCAATATAATAGTACATAGTTATTTTAAAATTTGTCTACCAAAGTGGACTCTCTTTTATCATTATTCTTCCAAAAATGTGCGTTAATTACTAGTGGTATGTAGCTTATCCATAAACATAAAGTGTGAATGAATTATATTTATTTATTTATGATGTTTGTAACCTAATTAAATAAAAAAGTCAATTGATTTTGGCATCCACTACAATATTGTATTTAAATTTTATACATAATAGATTTGAAAATAAAATATGGAATCTTTACAAGTTTTTTTTTTTCCGAATTAAATTGTAAATGATTATTTTAAGTCATTTCCTCGATCAATAAAACACACTTGTTTCTTTTCCGAAAAAGACTGTAAAGTGTTTATATATCATATTAACTTTTATCTAGCTCGTCTAATTTGAAGTCAATCATTACTTAACTGTTTTAGCTTTAGAAACTCATCTGAACATCTCGAATACAAACGAAATATGTTTAAACGAAGCTTGTGTTTGGTCACAAATTTTCAAATATTTTTGGTAAATTAGTTTTGGATGAAGTTTAAAAATGTGCTGACCATAATTTATGGAAACATTTTCTTGACTTATATCATAAATTTTAAAAACTACAAAAAAATATTCATAAGTTTGGCACAAAATCATTATTTTTATAAGGGAAAATGTTCAAATATGTCATTGAATTTTGCTAAAAAAAGACTTATTTATGTCATCTGTCAAAAGTTCAGCTCATCTATATCATTTTCGTTTGAGAAAAGACTCATCATCCAAACCACTATTTGTTAACTGAAATTGCATAGATGAACCAAACTTTTAACGGATGACATAAATGAGTTATTCTCAAAGTTTGATGGCATATTTGAGCCATTTCGCTTTTAAAAATTGATTTAATTAATGATGCGGCCGCATCAAAATTGTACACATATAAAAAATGATTTTACAAAATTGAAACTGTTTTTAGTTTACAAACAATGGCATGGATGAACATTATCTCAAAGTTCGATGACATAATTGAGGCATGTAACGACCCAATTCACCAGGCCGTGGGGCACCTACTCTAACACATAGATAGGAGAATCTTTACGAGAAATTTTAAAACATGAAATGCGGAATTGAACAAATTAAAACTAATCACTCGACCCTATGCCAAGTGACATAGCAAAAGTAGTATCAGTACAAACAATACGTACTAGTAGGCATCATCACTCGACCCCAATTCAACACATAATATTATGCAAATAATTTTAAAACACATGAAACTTAAAGATAAAATAAGGAACCTGCTCCACTCAGTCCCCACTCTCACTACAAGTAGTATTATTTTAAACTCATACACTCAATCTCAAATTACCCCATCTCCTTCCGTTGCCAACTCCGCCATCTAGGTCATTAGCCGAACCCCTTCTTATCACATAGAGATTTTCCGAATACAAGGACACTACTAACCTATTCTCCCCAAACACTTAGGCCAACACCCTGACCCTGAACCAATTTTTCAAACATATAACATACTATTCTAACCACTATATCAGAAACATAATCCTTCAGTCCGCATAAATACTTAACATTCACAATCCGTATAGTCCACACATTACCATTAGTCACACTTGGGTCACCACACCCTTCAGATGCACGAACCTCTAAGGATCCCTAAAATACCACTACGGTATTTAATATGCACTCCTGATCTATTCAACGACAACCTCAGTATATAAATACACAAATCCGACCAACCCTTTAGGGATTAACACGTGACAAATGTGAAACGATAAATAACTTTGGTACACTCACGAAATCAACATGTAACAACCACATCATGAAGAATTAACATGGTTCTTTCATGAAACTCACACACATATTGTTAGTATATTGACATGGTATTCGAGCCACTCATATATGGATATTTCGTATCAAGCGTGGTACCAAGTCAACGTTAGTATATATCAAGAGTGGTATCCGAGTCAATCATGATGATATTTTATACTATGCGTGGTATCCGAGCCAATTATTAGTATATACCAGGCATGGTATTCAAGCCGACCATCAAACAACATCACAATCATAAATACAATAAATAATAATCGCACTTGTACACCCATGTAATACATATTCATTGCATACGAATGACAACCTTTATTATTCAAATTATGCTATTTCATTTTCCCTAATCATATTTCATGCATGAAATACTAATGTAGCAGTTGACAATCACATAAAACATAAACAAGAAAAACGAACAACCCACACCTACTTAAAAGGATTCCTTCTCGAACATCTCCTGATCATAATTTGATTTTCCACAATCACTTTCTCCGGGATTGTCATGATCAGAGCCTACACTATAGACGTGACCGACACTGTAGAACCATTACTGGTCCCTAAGTGAACCTTCATCTTGGCTGGCTACAATCGAAAGATTAACTTAAGCATACACAAACATCAAACTAAATAGAATGTTTAACAATGATTTACTGAATTTCAAAACTCTCTGAATATACTGTCACGACCTAAAACAAGTCAGGAGTGACACCCACACATAACCTTCTAGGTGGACGAACTAACGAATTCAAACCCACGACCCATACGAGTCATGAGTGACACACTCTTAACCTTCTAGGTCAGCGAACCAACAAATTAAACTCCAACTTATATTAATTGTAACTTATATTAATTGTCCAGCTTACGAAATATAATCATAATGCAGAAACTCAAACCTAATTAAAGTAAGAAATACAAATTCTCAAGAGTCTATTACATATCATTCCCAAAACCTGAAAATCTTCACATTAAGGACATCTAATCCCTAAATACTAAGTCTGTGAGTATAAAAAAACAAAATAAATGAACAAAATAGTTTGTTTTCGAAAACTAAGGACATCATACCATGACCGAAAGAATCCAACACGAGTTAGAAGGAATAACTCCCATGGAACCTGATGTGGATGAGACTGGCTAGAGTTGAGGGTGAGTCGAAGTCGCTGGTACACTCGCTGCACTCCAAAAAAGGAAAACGAAGAAAAACACCAAGTAAGGGCCAATACATGTCAACATGTTTTGAGTAGATATTATCGACCAACTCAAAATAAAAACTAATATGCATAAAGTAATAACATAAAATCAACTATATCACTTAGGAGGTGTCAAGGAACAAGAAACATGAACAAGTGATGACAACAATATAATGAAGAAAGTATGTAATTAGTCAATAATATCAAGAACACACATGAGGACTCATGCCTTCACGCCTCGCTCTTTTGGGAAATGAATTCTTTGAGATTGAGTATATTAGTTATTTTAATATGCTTTCTTTTAATATTACCATGTCGAAATGTGACACCCGGTCCAATAATATTGTATCGGCCCGTGGCATTCGATCCAAATATATCGTACCGACTCGTGACACCCGATCCAACAACATAGTTAATTCATCATTATTTATCATCTCTTTCCACTTCCTAACAATATTTCATTGAGCCTTATTTATGCAAGACATCACTTTAATAAAATAAGTTCAAGATTGTGGATTTTGCGGTCTTGGGATAACAGACCAATCACAACAACATATGAAGAATCCAAACCACAACAATTAAGTACATTGAAAATTCACAACATTACTCAATGAATATCAATCATTGTTAAGAGTCTCTCTATCACATATAATAAACCATAACCTACCTCCATCGAAGAACCGAAGTCAAGCAAGCTAATTCCCCAATGCTTTCCTTTCCTCAATGTTTAGAACATTTCCAATTTATCA